TGTAAAGCTGATTTCAGATAGAGGCATGGAGGTGCTCAGTTTTTATTTCTGTCCCTTGCCTGCAGAAATAAATTGTTTCCCTAATGCTTTTGTCCTAAGTTTTCCATTTCTTTCAGGTGTTTGTGGCCCTGCTCATAATGGATTTCACTTAAAGATGTTACAAGAGCTGAGAGATGAGTTTAAGCTGAAACATTTCAGTTAAAAAACTTTGGTCTTTGAAAGCCCCCACAGTATTTGTGAAGATTGTTCCTTTGTATTTCCATTCATTGTTTATTATGTCAGCTGCTTTTAGCACCGGGCTCTGTCTAGCTCAGTGACTTTTTCTATGATGAATGCCATTTGGGATTTGAATATGTAGGTTTTAAGAGATCATCTTTTTAAAGAGTTGCTTAAGAATTGTGCTGGTGCATTAGTCTTTCTGATTTTAATAGTATCTGTCTAAAAATATTCTAAAAATCCAAAATGTAAAAGTTAGGCTTTGACTTAGTGTGCTGGTATCTGTGCTGGTGAATTTCATTTCCTGTCTTCAGTTTCAAGAGACATGTAAAGTCACAAACTCACTTAGAGTTGTTTCATTTCCTTGATGCGTCTCCAGTATCAACCCCAAACCGTATAGGATAGCTTCAAAAATTGATAGCTATAACTGCTAAATTAAGGCCCACTGATGTCAGCTACACTTTGCTTCAGTGGGGTTCAAGTTGTATAGAAACACCTCAGATTGGGATTGGGTTGGAATATCAGGTGAGGAAAGAAGGTAAAATTTTCAAAAGCATCTAAATCTCCCAACCAGTAGGAGTTTGGCTCCTGAATACCTGTAAAAACCTCACTCTTAGGAACTCAAGTCTCTCAAGATTTTCAATGGGGCATAGGCCCTTAAGGGCCTATATTCATTCTAAAAATGAAACTTACACTGTTTGTTCTTGGGGAAGAATCAAGAATGCAGTAGTTTAGTAAACTTCTAATGTGACACCAATTGCTGCCGCCTTCAAAAGTTTAGAAGTCAGTAGCAAGGAAAATACATAATGCTGGAAGAGTCCTTAGAGGGCCTGAATGAATATAATAACATGCAGTCAACATCTGTGGACAACTGGGCAGATGGATTATCCATTTTAGATATTTCCCAAACTATGCTTTGTAGTTATAATGACATAGCATCTTGTCACTAACTGAGAGCTCAACATTCAAATGCCCTTCATGTTTACTTCTCTTTAGGTAGGAATGTCCTATTGCAGGGGATTAGGGTAGATGAAGAGAATGGGAGTTTTGTGCTGCTACCTTGGCAGTCCTCACCAGCCAGTTTAGGGTTTTCAGGAGGGAGACTGGCTCATAGCCCTAAACAGTGGATGAGGAGATACTTCTAGTGTGAGAATGATGGTCTGTCCTGTCAGGTAGGAACAAATCTTGGTTGGAAAAAGTTGGAGGATTACTGCTGTGAGCTCTGACTTCAGTTACACCTGTTGAATTCCAGAAGGGCTATGCTATAAGGGATGAGGCAGAGAGGTTAAAGAAACGCTGGGCTGGGCATGGAGAAGCATTTAATTCAAGGAAGGGGTCCTAGATTTATAGCTATTGAAGATGGAGAAGACCTATTGTTCATCTAACCTAACTCTGTGGGACTTGCGCAGATCCAAACTTCATCAAAAGGGCCGTAATATTTTTAGTAACTCTCTTTATTTAAAGCAAACAAACAAATAAATAAATAAATGTTTCCCCCTTTTTCTTAAGAAGGTTAAGATAACTAGTTTAACTACCAAGTTAGTTTGTATAATAAATAAAACAGTAATGTAAGTAATATTTTTAAATATTCATTTGAGTCTAACCCTGGAAATTTTCTAAACAAAGTATCTGATTAAAGGCACACTGCCAATCTGATTTAACAAGAACAAAATGCCATTACTGCTTTCATAATTAATTTATTTTAATTTCTTGCAGAAAATATTTCAGGAATCAACTATTATGTTCTACAAATGTATTTGAACTGCTTCCTTGCTGTTTTTAAATTAGTATTTCCCATAGGTTACCACCTGCTATGTGGGACACCATTGAGGGTGCATTTTGCCCCTTCTGCCTCATATGCTGGTCATCTCTGGAGAATGCTCATGTTTTGCTGAAGTATATAAACTTCAGGTGAATGCAGTAGTATTGGTAAGGCCTGCTGATGGGAATTCCAGGCCCCAGGATAGCACAATAAATGGGTCTCCCATCCCCTTCTCTTGGAGAGAGGCACAAGCCCTGCCCAACCAGAGAGACCCTGAGTGCCACCCCTCCATCAGTAGGTTTCAACAGAAATACTGGTCACACTTGACGTGACATCACAATCTACATTTCATCTTTAGAAAATACCCGACATTTCTATTTTTTCAATTTGTTTCCCCGAACACAGAGCTCAAAATCTGGACTGTCCGGTTCAAAACTGGACACCTGGCAACCCTATCAGAGTATCCTCTGGTTGGTCGCAGGCCCAACCCCCACTCAAAGGTGCTCTTCCCACCCTCCTTTCCCTTTCTGTCCCCCTCCCCCAGTGGTCCTATGCCCAGCTCTGCTCCTTCCTCTCTGCCCCACACTGGTCCTCTGACACCCTCTACTCCATCCCATTGGCTCCTTTGTCCCAGACATGGCTGCCTACCTCTGCCCCCACCCCTCTGCTCTTTTCCCTTCCCAGTCTGGCATCTCCCAGTCATCCCCAGGTTGGCTGTCACCCCCTACAGTCCAGTGCCTAGCTGTACCCCAGAGCCTGGCTCCCACCTTCTTCTCAGCCCTGCTCTCCCCCTCCCTGCTCACTCACAGGGTTACAAAGTTGTAGCAATTGCTACCACAGCCAGCTGGTTCCTACCCCTGGCTCTACCTTCCTTGTGCAGCTGGGGGCTGCTGTCCGTACTCACCCTCTGGTCGCCCGGGGACACCCTTGCCTTGGCACTGTCGGGTGGGATGTACCACCAGCAGAGTCACTCTGCATCCTGCGGTGAGCTCTGGGACCGGTGACCGTGTGGCCAGGAGCCCTGCAGCCCACCCAGGCCATGTAAAAGGTCCTGGGTCTCCCATCCATAGCTACTGCGGTGCCAGCCAGAGGACCCGCGGCCCCTTTAAATCACCTGGAGCCATGGGCAGTTGCTGCCTTGGGTGGGCCTGAACCTGGCCTCCAAGCGCATCTGGGCCTGTGAAGTTAGGAGCTGCAGTGAGGGGCTCTGGATGACAGTATTGTGTCAGTTCTCTGCCATACATGCAGCTTTCATTCTCCGTCATAAAAATTCCCACAGCATAGGCTGCACTTATCCTGTCAAAACCTGCCCCCAGTGCACCTGTATTCACAGAGATCCAGCTGCAGCACTTGTTCCCCTCCTCTCTGTACCTGTTTTCACAAACATCTCATCATATTGAAATATCCAGAGCTTGGCCCTCTCCTCTGTGTTGAACCCCACTGCTGCCCACCTCAAGTTAGCCCTTAGAGCCTCCCCCATCAGCACTTACTCCCGCTCTGCTCTTTACCTCCTACAGCAGTGCTGTTTAAATGGCCCCAACAGGGCTACCAGCAATTGCCCTTTTAGCCACCCCCACCGCCTGTTGGCAGGCCTGGAATCACATCCGTGTGAATGGCGTGGAACACAACGTTCTTCTGTGTGTACAATGCAAACACTGGTAGAAATTACCTTTCTATGGTAACAGCGAAAAAAGAAAATGCGGCCACAGCCTCATTTTGCTGGTGCAGGAAGGGAAAGTTATGGGCATGGGGAAGGTTGGCTGGTAACGACACAGACCCAGGAGTTTTCCTGGTTGTCTCTAGAAGTGCAGCCTGGTCATGGCTAGACAGGTTGAAACAGGAAAATGTCACCCCTATTTGGAGCTGGAGCAGGGAGGGCACAGCGGCAGCAGGACAATGCATGCAATGCACTGTACACTCCAGCCACCACTGTAGCCTTGATTTAACTTACTGTGATTTTAAAGAGGCAGGGAGCCCCAGGCCCTCACCATCACACTCAGTAGCAGGACTCAAAAGGACCGGCCTTGGGGGCTCTCATCATCACTGCTGCCAGTCGTCTAAAAGTGGCAAGGAGCTCTGATCCCTTCCTTGCCTTGCCACTACAGGGACTTGGGAGTTGTGTGTGTCAATGCGGTAGGGAGCCGTACCTCCCTCTGGCTCCCCGCTGCTGCTGCTCTGCGGGGCTTAAAGCAGTAGGGAGCTCCGGGCTCCCTCCCATCTTGTTCCTCTGTGGATCCGAGCTCAAGGGTTACCCACAGCTGCTGCTACATCAGTGCTACTTTTGTAAGAACCAGGGGAGGACTGCTGTCACTGCTGCAGCAACAGCAATCCCAGGCCTTCTAAAGTCCACCAGGCTCTGGGGCAATTGTCCTCTTTGCCCCCCTGCCCCATCAGCAGGCCTGATGTCAGTGGTTAACATCAACTGAACTTCAATGGTAGTTTTCTTTGGCAGGGTGGTGGTGGTGGTTGTAATAAAAGTAGGCAAACATTCAGAGAAGTTGTCCTTTTTCAGTTTAAGTTGATAGGGCAGTTTTCAGAAGTCCCATAGAAAAGTTGCTGTTTTTTCCTTCCCCCATAAATGACACTTCCATTAGAAAGTACTACAACTGGCACACTTTTTTTAAGAGTGAAGACTCTTACAGCAGATTTCTAAATCTTGAATGCAAAGAGTCAGAATAAAGTATTTGCCCTAAGAAAATCCATATTTAAGGCAAAAAGTTAGTACAGGCAGTCCCCGGGTTACATGGATCCGACTTACATCAGATCCCTACTTACAAATGGGGTGAGGCAACCCCGCACTAGCTGCTTCCCCCCAGCAGACCAGGGAGCCGCGAAGCTAGCGCCCCCCCCCCCCGGCAGACCAGGGAGCCGCAGAGCGGCTTTTCTCAGCAGGCACACCAGCTTGAGAATAAAGGACTGAGGGAAGTGAGGTGTGGGAGAATAAAACTGAGCTCTGGAGAAATGTTTGGCTACAGTTTCCCCTACAATATGTACCAGTTCCGACTTACATACAAATTCAACTTAAGAACAAACCTACAGTCCCTATCTTGTACGTAACCCGGGGACTGCCTGTATATGAATTATTGTACTGCTTGAGAAGTTGGGGAAATAGTAATGAAGTTGGGGAATTCTTATTCTCTAGAAGGCAACGGACTTCACTGGATGGCCTCGAGCAGCTTCCAGAATTGAATATTTTTATGTTTTTTACTGCAACTAATTTCTAAGAGTCTAGAATCAAGAAAGACCTGCTTTAATGGTCCAGTAGGCTTCCTTCTGTGTAATAACTATGCAAGCTGTCTCCCCTTTAGATCATAGCTCATAATAATAATTTCTACTTTGTGAAAGGTTTTATTTTTAGGCTAATATAATCTTAGATGAAACATTTCTCCTTCATAGATTTATGAAGGAGCATAGTTGTGATTTAAAAAAAAAAAAAATCTTACCATTCCACCAACTCCCTTTAAACTAGCTTACACTGAAGACTTCACTGTAAATAAGTGATTATACTAAAGACATTCTTGCTAATAATACACTTTGACTTCTTTCTGGTTGAGAGTCTTGAGACTTCAGTCCTAAAGACAGAGCTATCCAAGCATCAGTGCTATCCATGTGTGGCATCAAGAGGATATGTTATATAAGCAAATAGTTATGCAAAAAAAGAACATCATGAAAAATGTATAGTGGTTTTTTGCTTCAATAAGTTTGTAGTGTTTGCAAACGGAGCCAGATTGACATATGTGGAAGCAGAAGTACTCTCTGGACTTTGGTTTCTGAACCATGAAAGAACTTCCCTCTTTTGTAGAGGGATTGAAAGAATGTTACCACTAACCAGGGAAACCTTGGTATCTGTGTAATTATTTTCTTCTTGTATGGTGTTTACTAAAACTTAATAGATGATATAAAAATTTGGAACTGACAAGGGTGCACAGAAAGAGGTCACAAAAATGTTTTGTGCCAAGTATGTATTGGCTCTAGTTTTGTCGGCAATCCCTCTGGTTTTGTCGGCAAGCTGCTTTTCCTTAAAAAATGATGTTTACGCAGCTTGTCAACAAATAGGAGGGTTCACTGACAAAACTGCATCTTAATTACTTTCACTTTTGAAAGTCCCGCTTTCGAAAGTGAGCTCGAAAGAAGATATGCAAATTCCAGCTGAATTTGCATATCCTCTTTCGAAAGTATAGCGTAGTCTAGATACGTGGAAAGGTGTTGTATGCCAGGGTTCTGGTTGCAGTAGAGAGGATAAGTTTCTGGTACATATAGATAACTTATATTGTAAAGTGTTTTAAGACAAACTAGGGGGCCCAGGATCGGATTAACACATGCTTAGGCTTTAAGATATGTCAGGTTTAAGAAGTCCCATAGCATTGTCAAATATATGTATTATTCTAATCCTTCATATTCTGAGGCCCTAAACTGTATCTTCTTTAGCTTGTGCATAAATCTGTCTCTAAAGGGCCATATAGAAAGCCACCTTAGTAAGTTTTGTGAAATTGACAAAGCAACATTAAATAGAAACCTTCTTTGGAATTTTATAACAAATAATTCTTTGGAAGTGTAGGCAGCTGTGGTGTGTCTGGAAATATGCTAAGAACTAATAAACTACACTTTTATTAAGGTTGAGGAGTGTATGGGAAGGAACTGATAAAGAACAGGAAAAGAGTACCTTTTAGAGAGTAATGAGAAAATTATAGACCCGATATTTGTGAGCTAACATGAAATATTTGTTTTGAAACTGAATGCAAATTGAATAAATGTCACCTTTTGGCTTTCATTAGGGGGTCTTAACACAAGTTTTTGTGCAGATCTCATGCTGGATGATCTCATTTTATAAAACACAGACAAACAGAAATGTGTATCTTAACAATGTGAGAGTGTGAACTTTTGGCATACTTTATGCCTGTATTATTGCATGGGAATGGTGTGGAAGAAACATATATAATCTGTATCCTCTTGCTCTTCCTAAATACATGTTTTAAACAGAAATTCAGGGTTCACGAGGGCTTATCTGTCTGTCTTCCAAGTTCAAAGACTAGTCTTTTTTGTAGGCTAGAGTCATCAAGCGAAAACCTTCCAACACAAGAAATGCGTGATGAGCTGTAGTTGCAAACATCAGTGGCAGGGGGCAAAAACTTTTCCTCTGTCTGGTGTAAAAATGAGGCAGTAAATAGCGTGCTTCAGGGAATTTGCGTTCCTACCCCCAAGCATTGATGCAGTGGTTTGTCATTAATCTGTCCGTCCCTCTCTCTCTCTCATTTGTGTACAGTGATGCAGTACTTAAATAGCAGTGCAGTGTCTGAGAGAGGTAGACCATCACTATGCCACCTAACTAATCTGTAAAATTCTAGTAGTATATTTAAGTTGATGATTAACATTGTCAGCCTGATTGAGTATATCCTTTCTAAAACCTTGTTTTTTCCTCCTCCTCCTGTTGCTTTAAACTCTCTCCTTTGACTTCAAAACAGACAATTGTGGGATTTTTCTTTGCCTTCCTGACAGCAGTGATACTGAATTTAGAACTCAGGGCACCTTGATTTGATAGCAGCTGCGGTATGCATCTTAAGATCTGTAAGATGCGGTATGCATCCTAATATCTGTAATGCATGTATTACATTAAATTAACATTCTGTGGCATACATACTTGCGCTTCTCTCCCTATCTTATTATTCTAACTTCAGACCAATTATAAAAATGAAGACTGAGCAGTTAACAATATTCTCTTGCGTTGACACAGCCTGATTCTACTCTTTTACACCCACGTGATTCCTCTGAAGTCAGTGGAATTATTCCTCATTTATACCAGTCTGTGAAAATTGGGACACACATTGGTTTTATTGTAGACTGACTCGATCACCCTGACTTGGCCCCTTTCCATTTTTCATGCAGGCTGGCAAGCAGCTGCTTGTGCATTTGATGGCAGCGTTATATCCTGGTTATCCAAGTATTGCTCAGAAGAGTAGCCTGGTCTTTTCCGTTTCCTTTCCTTGCTGCTTTGGTCTGAGAGAACCGTACTGCAGTGCTCTTAATTACTTGGCCTCCTCTGTGCTTTTAGAAGTCAGTTGCTCCTTTGGAGTCTGGATTCTACTGACTGACTAGAGAAGCACAGTGGGAACCGGAGCTGGATATTTGGTGGGTATTTGACAAAAAGAATCAGGGCTTTTATTATTTACTGAATTTTACAGTATTAGTTGTAACCCTTTTCTCAAACACTACACAGAGGAGGGGATTATATAAATAGGTAGAGAGAAGAAACATCAGTTCTTAATGTATCAGTATAGCATTAAAACAACTTTCCATTTCCACACATGTAACCTGTTCTTTGAAATGATCCTAAGAAAGCAGTAAGCTGTGCAGCAACATTGTCAAGGAAGATCATTATTTTTGCCAGAGCTCCCCCAAATCCAATTGCATGCAGCAAATGCAAGCCACAAATGATAATAAATCATGGATCCTTCACACCAGTGACTGAAATATGACTGGTGTGACCTAGTTCATTTGCATATTAAATGTGTTAGAGATTTTTATGCTTTTTTTCTTGTTTCCTAGGAAACCGGTGCTAGGGTATAGTAGAGAACAGTAATTGCATGGAGGGTGCTGCATGTCTGAATCTTTGTTCTTTTGTAGACAGGAGGCTGTAAAAAATAGAGAGGGCTGGAATTGTAAAAATATCTTTGACAAAAAATAGGATAAGCACGTCCCTATTTTGTGCTAAAGAACTACAAATTCCCAGCATATTTGTACAAAAATGCTCCCATGTACTAACAGGAATATTTATAATGTAAGTCATTTGGGTATGACTTGTACAAAGAGTCACTTCAAGGCACTACTAAAAGAAACTGAATTCAAATGAACATGAAGCTGACTAATTTGTTTTCATTGTCCTTGCTGAATGCATGCAACAACGGTGGTATTTGTTAGTGGGTGAATTAGACAGTGAAATGGAGAATGTTGTCAGAAGACTGAACATGTAAGTAGAAAAGGAAAACTAGATGGAAACAGATTAAATTAGTGGTAAATCTTGGGATAGAGAAGTGGCGATTTCAAGAGAATTAAATAACTCTAGAGAGAGATTAGGACAGCTGTGATCCTTCATATAGCGAGGGAGAGGAGGGAAGAGTAGAGTTGAGGACTACTGTCTAGTTGTGCCATGTGATTCATTTAAAAGCAACCTCTTAGCTTTAGCAGAACAGGTTGAAACTGTCTTAACTGGGATTCTCTGGTCGGCAACATCCATGGTCCGGCACACGTTGGAGGGCCAGTGGAAACGATCCCTGCAGGTCCAGCAGGGCAGTGAGCTGCTTGCAACAGGTCTGTCCATTGGGATTTGGGAGACACGTGCATGGCTGCCCAGTGGGCCTGGGGCTGCGGTAGCTTGGTGGGGCAGTGACCCGCAGCTGCCTGGTGGGTCCTGGAGCCCCGGTGTGGCATGTGTGGTTGCCCTATGGGTCCCAGTACGGCACGCATGGTTGCCCTGCGCGTCACAGAGCCAGGAGAGTGATGTCTTCGAAGCAGGGTCTGCTGGCGCTGCTGGAGGTGAGGAGCCTGCCTGGAGGCCAGTGGGCCGGGTGGAGGGTGGGCTGGTTGCAAGGGGTCCAAAAAATACCTCCCCTGGTCCAACAAAATTCCTCATCTGGGACCGGTCAGGCCCCCGAGAGTCCCAGACCAGGGAGGTCCAACCTGTACTAAGAAATTTTGCCACTGGAACTTGTATGTAGTAATGTGTGAGGACATAAGAGTGCTGCAGAGCCTTCCCCCAAAGTGTTGGTGAAGCTTCCTGGAACAAGTGCTTAATATTTCTGGTATACATAAATATGACTGCACTTGTTCTTGGTTTGTTCCAATGGATGTTTCAACTAGCATGAAGAGATGCTGGAGTTTCTGTGCACTGCTGAGCTCTCTTGCTCGCACCGAAGATGCCAGGCCAAAGATTTGCAAGCCACAACTTGAATGACTCTGGGTTGGAGGTTATTGTGAAGAGCATTGCCCTGGGTGGGAAATGGTGCTTGAAGGAGGTAAGGCACTTTATTGATGTCTTTTACTTGATTTGTTGCTGCTGTTCTTGCCTGTTGTTGACCTAACTTTTTTTTTCTTCTCATCCCATGCAGAGCACTGAGAACAGAGTGGGCCTAAGTTTGGAGGGAGAGTGCCACAAAATTGTACCAGTCCCTTCCCCCCAATTCCTGCACTGATTGTATATGATTTCCATAGGGCTGTCAAGAGGACCACTGGGTTTTGGGCGGGCATGGGATGGTAAGTAGAACCAGAGGATGTACCTGGAAATGGGTTAATTCCATTGAGTTTCAAAGTTGGATGCTTCTGATGACATTTTTTCTGTTCTCAGGAATCTGGGAAACGCAGTTGTCTCACTCGGAAGCGGACTTTAGGTCACCATAAAGCAATGATGAGTAACCTGTGGGCCACTGGTCATGTGTGGCCCATTGGGGCTCTGTTTGTGGCCTGCAAGGCATTTTGTTTTCCGTTGCCCATGTGAAGGATTGCCAGATTCTGGGCACATCCTGCAATCCTAGGTACACTTGCGCAGTTAGCAAAACTACCCTCTCCTCGGAGACCATCTTGGTTATGACAGTCTTGAGGCCCACTGAAATGGAGGGCCACTCATATTACTCACTCACTAGCCTAGGTGGCCTTTTCTGCCATAAAATATTTGTGTATAATGCTTGTGGCATATGTCTAGTCTTTTTCTCTAAGGTTTGTATTTCTCAGGTGCTGAATCTCTATTGGTACTAATATGGCTGTATCAGAAAGTATGTTTTTAAAATATATTTTATATTGGGAAGCAACATTTCTGAAAGTTTTTATTTGTAAGGCTTTGAAATAAATTATTTGTTTGTAACAGGACTCCATGTCTTGAATTTTGGGGTTGGGGTGGAGAGAAGTGCACAGCAAAGTCAGCCAAGAGCCACCTTGTGCGCTCTTGTTACATAAAAAAGGCCAGACTGGGTCAGACCAATGGTCCATCTAGCCCAGTACCCTGTCTGCCAACAGTGGCTAATGCCAGATGCCCCAGAGGGAGGGAACACAGCAGGCAATCCTCATGTGATCTCTCCCCTGTCACTCACTTCCAGACAAACAGAGGCTGGGGACACCATTCCTACCCATCCTGTCTAATAGCCATTGATGGCCCTGACCTCCATGAATCTATCTAGCTCTTTTTTGAACCCTGTTAAAGTCCTAGCCTTCACCGCATCCTCTGGCAAGTTCCACAGGTTGACAATGTGTTGAGTGAGGAAAAACTTCCTTTTATTTGTTTAAAACCTGCTGCCTATTAATTTCTTAAGTGACTCCTAGTTTTTATATTGTGGGAGTAAGTAACTTTTCCTTATTCACTTTTTCCACACCAGTCATGATTTTATAGACCTCTGTTATATCCCCCCTTAGTCTCCTCTTTTCTAAGCTGAAAAGTCCAAATCTTTATCTCTCTTCATATGGGACCTATTCCAAACCCCTAATCATTTTTGTTGCCCATTTTTGTGCCTGTGTTGACCTATGGTTTTACAGGGGACAGAGCCATTAATCTGTGGTGTCACTTCAGGTTGAGCCAGGAGCATGGTAGGACTGTGTTAAGAGGATCATATGCTCTTGTTGGAGCAGCTGCAACAGCACTTGCTGACTACCACAGTGATTTAAGGAAAGGTAGTGGTGAGCAACATGTTTAGCTTTGCTCAGAACAAGTGCAGCAACAACCAGCATGAGTGCCAGCGTGCTAATTACAAGCATGGGAGTGCAGAGCATATGGACGGGTGTGTGGAAGACATTCCAAATGCTTGCAGTTGTGCTTAAAATGCCTTACTGGCCCACCACAGGACATACCACACTAATACCAACCCTGGTACCTTCCCTTGCAACAAACCCCGTTGCCAGCTTTGTCCACATATTCATTCTGCTGATACCATTATTGGACCTAACCAAGTGAGTTATAAGATCAAGAACACATATTCCTGCGCATCCAGAAATATAATCTATGCTATCATGTGCCGAAAGTGTCCGTCTGCTATGTACATTGGACAAACATCTCAGACACTTCGCCAAAGGATTAATGCCCACAAAACAGATATCAGACAAGATCACAAAGAGAAAACAGTTTCTTGCCACTTTAACCAGAAAGGACACTCTCTAAATGACTTAGCCACCTGCATTCTGCTACAAAGACCTTTTACATCTGCACTTGAAAGGGAATCCTCTGAACTGTCATTCATGTTAAAATTCGACACTTACCACCAGGGACTTAACAAGTCTTTGAACTTTCTCACCCATTATCAAGACAGTTTCCCCAATTATCACCTGTAATACCATTAACTCACAAACATCCCACTCTCCCTACCTTTAATATCAGCAATTCACAGACACTTACCTTCCTTCCTCCCCCTTCCCACCCCCCCGCCTCCTCCTTCTGTTCTGCAATGTGATTTGTCCTTTTCATATTTGTTCATTTTTTTTAATTGTATCCTTTGGTATATATGGTTGTGACTACTTTCTTCCACTATTTGATCTGAGGAAGTGGGTCTGGCCCACGAAAGCTCATCATCTAATAAACCATCTTGTTAGTCTTTAAAGTGCTATATTGTCCTGCATTTTGCTTCAACTACCCCAGACTAACACGGCTACATTTCTATCACTATTTTACTGGCCCTATAGTAGACAAGTAGCGAGAGCCTGATAAGCTAGAAGGATGTTTGCACTACAGTTCTATGACTCTAATTCATGGAAATCATTGTGGGGAAAATTAACAGGATACAAAACTTTAATTTATTTGCCGTTAGCTACTCAGCAATGCATTTTAAACACATTTGAGCACTTTCCTCCAGAAATGTAATTAAATTTAATTTTTCCCTCTGAGTCTTCATACTTCATGAAATGTTAGAATTGAAATTTTTCTTTGTTTGTGGTTAGTTCTCAAGAATGCAAAAGCCTGAAGAGCAGTACCTATGGGCAGACATGGTATGAGCAGCTGCTGTTCACGTGTCCTCATCGTAGCTCTACCTCCATCCCAATGCGTCATTGCCCATGCTATTACTATCCTGTTTGTTGAATAAAGACCATCTGAACTGTGCTTTGATTTTGCTTTTCTATTGCTTTTGTTAGCTCTGGATCAATGTCTGTTCCCTTGTCAGCCTTGGAACCCATGTTTATCATTAAGAGTTTATATTACAGTGTTGCCCAAAGGCCCCAATGGATGGAGTGGGAGAGCCTTATACTAGCTACTGCGCAAGTTCATAGCAAAAGACCACCTTAATTAACAAAGAATGGGAGGGGACGGGGCAGACACACAGAGAACTGAAGTGCCTGACCTGAGATGATAGCGGTTTTCAGGTATCTAAAAGGGTGTCACAAGGAGGCGGGAGAAAAATTGTTCTTCCTGGCCTCTGAAGATAGAACAAGAAGCAATGGGCTTAAACTGCAGCAAGGGAGGTTTAGGTTGGACATTAGGAAAAAGTTCCTAACTCTCAGGGTGGTTAAACACTCGAATAAATTGTCTAAGGAGGTTGTGGAATCTCCATCTCTGGAGATATTTAAGAATAGGTTAGGTAGATAAATGTCTATCAGGGATGGTCTAGAGCAGCGGTTCCCAACCTTTTCCAGATGGGGACCCATTTTGACAATTCAGGAAGACTTGGTGACCCAAGGCAATTAAAAAATGGGGGGAGGGGAGAGCCACCTGGGGAGACACTTGGTGACCCTTTTGAAATGTAATGGTGACCCATATTTGGGTCCCTAGCCATACGTTGGGAAACCCTGGTCTAGACAGTACTGGGTCCTGCCATGAGGGCAGTGGACTGGACTCGATGACCTCTCGAGGTCCCTTCCAGTCCTAGTAGTCTATGATTCTATGAGATCAGATAATATGTCAGTGGCAAAATGAGGACTACTCTTAAATTATTGTTCAGTCAGTGTAGTTGGTTGTGAGACCACAGTTAAGAGATGTTATCAGTTTACTGTGCTGTTTTGTCCTCATGAGTGCTTTGGTATTTGTGCTTTTACTATTCAACATGTTTCTTGTGGAAAAATGCTGTAACACAAGGTCTTGTGATAAATTTCCCTAAATCAATTGCACATTTTGTTGTGTACATATATTTTTATTTTATTTTTAAAAGTTAAGTGAGTCCAAGGTAATTGGTAATCATCTCTACTTAATCACTAGTTGTGACTAACACATGTCAAAGGCCATAGATTGACAGTCTAGCATACTAAATACCTTTATGTATCCACAGAACAATTAGTGTGGGTAGTGACAATGCAGACTTCTCTGTACTGCTTCGCCAAGTCAGTGTATCACATAATGCTCACTCCTTTGTTTTCCCGTAACAGTGGGTGTTTTATGAGAGAAAGTGGGTTTTGAAATAATTTAACCAATATTATAAATTCCAAGTGATATCAGATCTGATAAAAATAGATGTAGAAAAACTGACCTGGTAGATGCAGTGTGAATTTTGTGCTGAGGCTGCTTTATTTATTGGCGATGTGGTCACAGGACTTTCTTAGACATTTGCTAATTGAGCAGTTGTCTTTGCCAGAGAGAGGAAATAGAATGAACTTTTCCATTGCTTCTGGATACTCAAATAGCCATGGATGTGCCTCTCTTCTCCCCCTTCTCCCCCCCCCCCCCGAAAAAAAGTTCTCAGTTCCACCTGTGCTTGCCTCAAAGATTATACCATGCCCAGTCAATTCTATGTATAGAAATGAAACACTACACATTTGTGAGTGGTTTTGCAGCAACCTTTCTGTGCTCAGAGCAGATCACCCCAGTGCCTCCCTTTGCTGGCTTCCATAGAGCACAGAAATCAAATGAAAGGAGTCAGGCTTCCTCTGAAAAGTCTTCCAAGGGACTGGTTCAATTTGTGAAAAGGGTGGCCTCCCTTCCATGACTCATAGACTTTAAGGTCAGAAGGGACCATTATGATCATCTAGTCTGACCCCCTGCACAATGCAGGCCACAGAATCTCACCCACCCCCTCCTGAAATAATCCTCTCATCTATATCTCAGACATCAAAGTCCTCAAATGATGGTTTAAAGACCCCAAGATGCAGCGAATCCTCCAGCAAGTGATTCATGCCCCATGCTACAGAGGAAGGCGAAAAAACTCCAGGGCCTCAGCCAATCTACCCTGGAGGAAAATTCCTTCCCGACCCCAAATACAGGCAGTCCCCGGGTTACGTACAAGATAGGGACTGTAGGTTTGTTCTTAAGTTGAATCTGTATGTAAGTCGGAACTGGCGTCCAGATTCAGACACTGCTGAAACTGACCGCCAGTTCTGACTTACATACAGAAT